CTGCCCATAGTCACCATACTTTATAACTAAATGTATTCAGCTTGGTGTAGCAAGCATTTTTAATATAATTCTTCTGATAAACATTACGTTCTTCTGGAATAAATGCAGAAAAGCAGTCTGACTTGCTTAATATGTTTATGAGACACTTTAGTGTATTCAGTTACATCTGATCTGATCTTTCCATTCATATAGAAACTGGGATACAGTGGCTTGGGGGGAGGCGGGGAACAGTACTTCAGATTCAATTTCCATATTCCAAAGAAATGAAATTATATTTCATGCAATTAAATGTTATCTTTTTATTTTCAGAGGGTCCTTATGGAATATTTGCTGGCAGAGATGCCTCAAGGGGACTAGCAACTTTCCGTCTAGATAAAGATGCACTCAGAGATGAATATGATGACCTGTCTGATTTAAATGCTGTACAAATGGAGAGTGTTAGAGAGTGGGAAATGCAATTTAAAGGTAATGTTTTAATTGGCAGATTCACTGGGAATCCTCTTTACTACATTGCTAATGACCTGTTTTAAAATGCTTCAAGGTATGTAAACAGTAGCTTAATGCCCATAAGTATGATAAGGAAGGGCAAAGAAAAGAGCACATTTACCAGCCTTTCATGGCTTGACATTACAAGTCTTGGCAAGCTGACACAGCCAGGAAGATATAGGTGTTACTGGAGAGGTAGAGCTTGTACTAGAAATCCAAGTTTGTTCAGTGATCTCCTGAGCTGCTCACAGACCTTTCAGAGGGGTGAGGGAGAACTACAAACAGTCCTCCTTAAGTTCAGGAAGAAGTTATAGCGGTCTGAGCCAGCAGTGGATGAAGTAGCTTTCTTCATTCCCTGGAGCCTTGCAATAAGTGTGCACACAATCCATTGTGCCTGCTCCCATTTGGAAAGTATTCTAAATTTTATCCAGTTAGAGGCTGTACTCCACAGTGTATAATTCCAGTTGAATTAACAGTGGAGTTGTGGGAGGATTATTCCTGACAAAAACTTTGTGGTTTAAAGTGCCACACCTTTCAATTTTTTTGGTCTCTTGTAGTGCTTGTCCCGTTAGCTCTGTGTGCTTTAGCATTCTAATGTGCACAATTACTGGGCTTAGCAGCTGGACAGATCAAAAAAATTCACTTAATAGGTCTGGAAAGTGGACTAGCGTTTATAATTATGATATTGCGAGGAAAACATAGCTCATCCCGGTTAGTCAACACTAATGCCAGGAGTTTATGGTGGATAGTGTGGCATTTATACTAAGTTAAAGGCTTCACTTAGCCATTGAGTTCATGAGATACCCATGGATCAGTTACTATGATCTACTTTGTAGTTATACTGAGAGGTACTGAGGATGAAATTGTGGTGGAGAACACCTCCATCCTTGGGTATGTGGAAGAAAAAATCCCATTGGAATCCATCCCTATTGAGAAAAAGGTTCCTTCTAGAGTATAAAAAATGGGATGACTCTAGTATTTAAAAGCAGGTATTGATTTCCATATTAGAAACTCATAATATGGAAAAGAACTGATTTATTAATTCCTGAACATCTTTTCCAGAAAAGTATGACTATGTTGGTAGACTCCTAAAACCAGGAGAGGAACCATCAGAATATACGGATGAAGAAGATACCAAGGATCACACTAAACAGGATTGAACTTTATAAATCACCAAAGTCATGGGCCTTCAAAACTGCAATCTTATTTCCCATCACAGAATGCCACATCTTCGGGCACAGTTCATCTGCTGCGGCAAACAAGTTTTGTACAAGAACATCATCATCCTCTATCAATGAAGATTTGATTAGGCATTCTTGTGCTGCCAAACTTTTTTTTGTTGCAGTTTAATGTCTGGAAAGGCTTCGTTATGAAGAGGGGCCAGGGATTTAAAATGGAAAAGCTGTTCCTTGTAGCCTGTTGAAGCCTTAGAACTGTTTATTTACAAACGTCAGTGTTTCATGTCATTTCTACTCCTTCGGCGCTACAATGGAAAGCCTCACTGTTTCAAGGAATTCTAGTAAATTTGGCATCTGAAACATTAACACACAAAAAATGGGAATATTCAAACTAGTCTGTGGGGCATCGATATCCATGGCTGAAAACTATTTTAAGATCTCTACAGATTACAGGGTTTCAATATATTCCCCTGAAGGACAGAGGAAAGCTTAACTTTTCTGCAGAAGCTATAATTTGAAACCTGCCTTCTATGCTTTTCCTTTCCCCTCAATCAAATCGGAATAATTGTGCCTTATTTCACTTAAGACTTGAATTGTTTTAAGGGAAAGCCCCATATGTGACATGAGTCACTAAAAGCAGCATTGAGGACTGAAGTTAGAACACTTGCTTGACTGGAAAACATTGTCATTCTGTATATAAAATGTAAAGGAATACTCAGTGTTACTGCCATATATATAATTAGCATTGTAATAGCCAAACGCATTTCCCTATTTGCTTTTTAAATAAGCCCACCCCCCAGGGAGCTCCCTAAATTTGGAGCCTCAACCCATGTCTTAGAAGTGAGAAGTGTGCATGGGATGTGGGTATGTCTGTGGATGCTTGAGTGCAAGATTTGGAAAGGATAATTCCTACAGATATTGTAAATATGAATACCATTTTAATAAAGCATGTAAAAACCAAATGTGCTGTCAGACTTTATGTAGAAGCTGTTAAGCTCATGTAGGGGTAGCCAGGTCTTACATGTATGGAAAAAAGGAAGAAGTCTTGAATATGAAATATTTTTGCACTGTTATTAAATAAAGCTTTACCCATTTTTTTCTTCAGTTACCACATTTAATCCTGACTAGAAATGTATCTGAATAAGTTTGAACAAATTTTTGAGTGCAAAACCAGCTGCAAGTAGGGATGAGGCAAAAGGGTTAAGTGTACAACAGTAGAGAGCGCATCTTCAAATATTCTGGTTTCAGTTTTAACTGAACTTATCACTGTTTTCTTAGTATGTTAACCACACAGCGGCTTAGTGAATATAGCAAATAAACAATCTCACTCCTTGAATGCTTCTCACAAACTAGTTGTCAGAACTGCAGTCTAGCATCAATAGTGAAAGCTATGCACAAAGTGTCCTAAGACAGTGTCCTAAGCATGAATAAAACCTAACTAGCAGTGATCTTTAACGTATCGAAGGTAGCATTTAAATGACCAAACACATCTGGCCCATGCTCAGGTTGGCTTGTGACTGGAGACTGCTTGTATGGTGTATGTTGAAAGATTTTCTGTATCTGCTTCCCTACTGTTAGTGTGTGCACATTTGTCCCTTATAGTAGGTTGAAAGTCTCCACCCCCCTCATTCATAAGCCACAGTTCCATTTTTTTCTCCAAAACTTCATAAAATTATGCAGTCTGTTTTGAGAAACGAACAACTTGTGTTCTGACTTTTGAAATAAAGTGTTATGTAGATATTAAATTTATGCTGTATGTGTCATGTTACCTTGTGAAGGAAAATTAGTATGGCTTCTTGTAAAGGAAAGTCCTGAATGATTCCCCAACCTTTTGGCGTTATTTGAGAAAGTGAACAAGCATGTAGACAGTGGTGACCTGGTAGACATTATACACTTGGACTTTCAGAAGGTTTTTGACAAGGTACCTCTCTGAAGATAAGAGGAGTGGTTCTGTTTTGGATTAAATGACAGGAAGCAAAGTAGGAATAAATGGACAGTTCTCACAATGGAGGTTCTACAAGAATCAGTATTTAATTTGTTAATAAATTATCTTCATCTTATGGGTGAATGAAGTGAGCAAAAATGTGGCAGATGAAGGTCATTGTTGGTAAGTGTAAGGTGATGCACATTGGAACAAACACTCCCAACTTCAAGTACAGGCTAATGGGATCTGAACTTGCTGACCTTGGGGTCATAGTAGATAGCTCAATGAAAGTATCAACCTGGTGTTCTGCAGTGGTGCAAAAAGTCAAACTGTGTTGGGGATTATTGGGAAAGGGACTGAAAATAAATCAGCTGATTGTCATAATGACCATGTACAGCCTCATTTGGAATAGTGTGCTGTACCTGTGTATCAAAAAGGGCATCGCAGAGCTGGAAAAAGTACAGAAGAGGGCAACCAAGATGATTAAGGGGTTGGAGCACCTCTATGAGGAAAGGTGAAGAGTCTGGAACTTTTCAGTTTAGAAAAGGGGGGACATGGTAGAGCTTTATAAAATAAGGCACAGGGTGGAGACCGTGGACAGAACTTCTCCCACCCACAAAGTGCTAGAACTTGAGGGGATCCCATAAAGCTGATGAGCAGTGGACTGACAGACAAAAGGAAATACTAACACAGTGAGTGACTAAAATGTGGGGTTTGCTGCCAGAGGATGTAGTGATGGCCACAAGCACAGACAGCTTAAAAGGGGATTAGAGAGATTCATGGAGGATGGATCTATCAGATGCTACCAGCTAAGGTGACTAAAAGGAAGCTCCATGTTCAGAGGCAGTAAACCTCTGGATCTTCGACGTGGTCTCTGTGCTTCACACCCATGGGATCTAGTGCGCACGCGCTGGATCGATCAGCATTGTAGCAAGCTCTTTAACAGATTTTCGTGCCTAGTCCCTCGGGCATGCGTAGGAACCCCACCGCCAGTTCCTTTCTTATTGCCGCGTTGGAAAGACCTCTTTCTCGTCGGTCTGATCGGTTCGCTTTTTTGGCTATTTGCCTCATGGCTCTTCGGATTTTTCCTCACTTTATTCTCTCTTCTTTAGTACTTCTTCGTTTGTTCTTTAAAAAACTTAAAAAAACCCCAACTTTATTTTCAGCTGAGGGGGAAGTTGCCGGTTTACCTCAGTGTGGCCTTCGGGCTACCCCCACCCCTTCTTTCTTCTTCGCTGTTTATTTTTATGGAGAAGAAGTGGGGCTTTTTTAACCAGTGCAAGGGTTGCGGCAGTAAACTTGCTCCACCCGACTGCTATACCCTCTGTATTTTTTGTCTCGGAGAGTCTCATCGACCTGAGTCCTGTAGCCACTGTGTTCGTTTTTCGAACCAGACCCGGAAAAACCGAGCTGCGCGCCTTAAAGTGGCGCTACTTGAATTGACCCTTCATCCTGCCTCAGCGATGGACACCAAGAGACCATCAACCTCGATGGCTATGGCATCGAGGCCTGCCTCAGATATCTGCCAACTGACGCCGAAGCCTCTGGCATCGAAGGCGCAATCCTCCACTTCCACGCCAGTGACAAAGTCCAAGTCAAGTAAGGAGCACAAGTCCGCAAAGAAGGGCTCCTCCAAGTCCCTTAAGGTGGCAAAGAAGGGGAAGGTTGCGGTGTCTGCACTGGGTGATGCCCCTAAAGTGCCTCCTGCTCCAACGGCAGTATTGATACCGGAGGCTCAACCTCCTCCACTGATACCGACCATCCAACTCTTGGATTCCCCCATCCACCAACTGGAGCATCCTTACTCCGATATCAAGACGGTAGAGCTCCTAAGTCACCAAATGGGGGCTGAGCATTCTCCATCTCCTTCCACCTCATTGACATCAACAGTATTGGAGGCTCCCAATGTCGACCTGCATCGGAATTGACATAGTTCTTGCAGCACGCAGCGTCATCCTCCACGTCTGCATCTTCAATCTGTCAATATCGACGACCGAGATTATAGGGACGGTTCTCACAGACAGGCTGTCGCTTTGTCTCCAAGACGTCCACGGTCCAGAAGTCGATCCCCCTGAGTCTTCTTGCCCCCTTCACCACCTCTGTCTTGGGATCAACGACAGATGAGATATCTGTATGGGGCTTTTCCACCATCCATGCCATGGTTGACTCCGGCGAGCTATTTAGACTGGGATCGCTATTCATCCCACTCTGTCCATAGATCGCGGTCGCCCCATAAGTTGAGACCTTCGGCATCCCTGTCTCGTCCTCCTGCAGACTTCCCAACACAATCTGGAACCAAGTCATCCTCCCAACCCTCAACTCATTCCAACTCCTGTCATTCCACCAAAACCTTTAACTTGTCAAGAGGACACTCTGGTCTAAATGCCGCACCAGGACTCCTCTGATTTAATGAAAGACGATTCAGATACGGAGGCATCCGACGTTCACACGTCTCCTGTCCATAAGACTCTAACCAGGCTGTCGCTGATGACTTACCCATATCCCCATCCAACAACCTCATGTCATACACTGACCTCGTCAAGAGAATGGCCCACTCTTTAGGCCTCTCTGTCGTTCAACAACATCCGCAGGTGACTGATGCAGTTTTTGATATAGTACAGCTCAATACCTCTTCCGCTCTGGCATTACCCATGTCTACAGTCCTTTTGCAAGCCGCAAAGGCCCCATGGGAAAATTCCTCGTCAGCCCCACTGTCCACAAGACGACTGGACCACATGTACAGGGTCCAAGACGCAGGTGCCGAATTTTTATTCTCCCACCCTCAAACTAACTCAATGGTGGTGACATCCTCCTCCAAATCCAAAAGAACACATTCTGCACCATCTGACAGAGAAAGTAAAAAATTGGATGCCTTTGGCAGATGCTTTTACTCCACGGGAGCATTGGGTGTCAAAGCCACTAACTACCTAGCCTGCATGAGCAGGTATCAATACACCCTCTGGGAACGGTTCTCCGAACTTCTGACACACCTCCCAGAAGACAAGCTTCAGGCAGCCAGAGTCATTCAAAAAGTAGGCATGGTGTTGGCAAAACAACAGATCAACACTTCAAAGCATGCCCTCGATGCATCTTCAAGAACGATGGCCTCTGCAATAGCTCTTAAAACTGATAGACAACTCAAAAACTGATAAATCACCAGGCCCAGATGGCATACATCCGAGAGTTCTGAAAGAACTCAAATGTGAACTTGTGGATTTCCTGACAAAGATATGTAATCTTTCCTTAAAATCTGCCTCCATTCCTGTCGTCTCCACACCCCCTTCCCCACCTCTCCTGGAGAAGGTGTCCGTCCTTCAGAAGGGAGCCATCGAGCACGTACCAACACACCTCCAAGGGACGGGATTTTATTCCCAATACTTCATAGTTCCGAAGCGGGATGGAGGCGTTCGACCCATATTAGATCTAAGGGGGCTGAACCATTTTGTGACCTACCACCGCTTCCGCATGGTGTCCTTACAACAGATCATGCCGCTTCTTCGGAGACATGTCTGGATGGCCCCCCTTGACCTCCAAGACGCGTATTTCCACCTCACCATCCACTCCTCCCCCGCCAATACTTACACTTCGCGATTGGTCGACAGCATTACCAGTATGCAGCCCTACCATTTGGCCTGTCCAGCGCCCCAAGAGTCTTAACAAAGACTATGATTGTGGTTGCGGCTTTCCTCCATCTCCGGGGTATCTCCATCTACCCCTATATCGACGATTGGCTTCTGGTAGCGCCTTCAAAGAACACCCTGATCTTGAACATCACAGAGACTCTGGCAATATTGGAGAATCTGGGCCTACAGGTCAATCGACAAAAGTCTCAATTGTGTCCGGTCCAGAGGATAAAGTACATCGGCACTATACTGGATTCTAAAACATGCATGGCTTACCTGCCTCACGACAGAGTGGCAGACATAATTTCTTTAGCCACCACTGTCCGTACCCAGCCTTCTGTAACTGCCTTCCAAATTCAGAGGCTGCTCGGCCTTATGGCTGCAACTACGTCGGTTCTCATCTTTGCCAGACTGAAAATGCGTCCTTTACAGCTCTGGTTTATCCGCAAGTATGACCTGTCGAAAAATGCACACACCGTCCTCCTATCCCCTCTTCCCAGCATACGAGACTTTTTACTTTGGTGGACTGTCCCTTCCAATCCCTTCCAGGGAGCACCCTTCCATCCTCTATCACCCCAAATCACCCTGACCACAGATGCTTTTCTGTCAGGCTGGGGTGCACACATGATGGGTCTCTGTGTCGGAGGCAAGTGGAATACCCACGTGCAAGGTCAGCACATAAACTTCCTGGAAGTGCTGGCAATACAGTTCGCTGTCACAAGTTTCCTACCGATGGTCAAGGGGAAATGTGTTACGGTCCTCACGGACACCACCACTGCACTCAGTTATATTAACAAACAAGGAGGCACGGTCTCCTTACATCTCTGCAACCTTGCCATCCAGTTATGGGACCTTTGCATCGCTCACGATGTCTTCTTGATAACCACGCACATCCCAGGACACATGAATGTGCAGGCAGACCATCTAAGCCGAGCAGGACTCAGTCTCCACGAATGGGAAATGAACCCAACCTACCTGTTACCACTCTTCCGCAGGTGGGGAGCTCCCCAAGTCGACATTTTCGCCACCACAGCCAACAAAAAATGTCCTCTGTTTTACAGCCGAGGAGGCAGGGACTCACATTCTCTAGGAGACGGTGTCCT